AAGTGATGAGGATAAAGAAAAATATCAATTAGGGAATTTCTAGTTGATCCAATTCCAAATTCCCCTAACTAACTTCGTGAGAATTGTATGGCAGACAGTAAGGAGAATCTCTGATGAGATTTTGGGATTGCAAGGCTAAACCTTTGAGGGTGGCCTAACTCACCTCTCCTTACAGTAACACTGCTGAATCAAGGTTAGGCTCCAGTTTTGTATCATGCAGTTGTTGTTATAAACAAATGTCCTCCTTCACCACTGCCCTCCATTTGCTCAGAAAACCAATAATTTTACATGAAATTGAGCCTCCTCTTTTCTTTACGCTCCCTTTGACTTTCAGATGTATCCTATTAATGAACATGGTTTGGCATTAATCTTGTAAAAATTACCAGCATTCCAATCTGTGTGACATCTCAAACTCCCAAAAATGTTTTTTAAATCCTACCTCATCAAGATCTGGAAGCTTTTAGAGGGCTTATTTATATACAAATACTTTGGTAAACAGAGTTTAGTCTTTATGTTTAACTGGAAGATAAATTGTAGTTAGGCCAAGGTTTATTTATTTTTTTATAAAAATGCAATCTCATTTTAACCTGAGAAACAAAAGCCACAAGTTCTTAATAAACTTGAACTCTTTAACACTCAGAGTGACCAAGACACTTTTACACTTACAATACAACATCCAGCAGACAAGTGATGAGAACAGAAAAAATATCAATTACAGGATTATTAGATGATCCAATACCAAATTCTCCAAACTAACATTATAAGAATTGTATAAAAGACAGTAATCTTGGAAATGAGAGGGTTGAAACTCCTTATAAACTTTGAAAAAAACCTTTTATTGTTTAATGGGAGCAAATGAAGAAGCAATATCACTTCACTTGTGTTGAATATATTTCTTCTTTGCTTTCTGGCTTATTTTGTGGCTTAAACCAGCATATGTCCATGGTCAAATCCTAAATCTCTGAACAAAGTGTAGTCCCATATTTCACTGCCTGGTTGTTACTCAGGCAAGGTTGTTCTTAAGCCTTTAACCTAAAAGAGTTACTTCCATCTAATTTCTCCTTATCACATCACCCCTGAATCAAACTTTAAGGTTGTGAGAATAAAGGAAATGATCACCAACTAAAGAAGCTCTCAATTGTTAAAAAATATCTCCTTCTCAGCACCTTCAGGAATTTGTAGGGAACAGTACAGAGAATGTGGATACTGATGTTAAGTTAGGGGTTGAGGCACATAATGAGATCAGATTCCATGCTGAGTAGCAATAAGCTGCTATTATAACAGTTAACCAATGTGTAGTCTTTGAGAAGTGGATCTTCACCAAATTGTCTGTTTAGTGCAGCAGGTTTTTTTGCTTGCTCTCTGGCATATTTCCCAACTTCCAATAACTAAGTTAGCTCCTTGAAAAACATGAAGTGTTTGCACTGTCACCATTAGATTTCTTGCAATGAACAAAACACAAATTAAGGGATAAATGAAACTTTTCTGCAACATCAAAGAAGAACAAAGTTAATGCTGTATTCCCTCCAATTTACCCCTTTCTTAACTCAGTCACATTTAATTTACCATTTAGGCACTTTGTAGAATATTTTTAACTCTTGAGGGCTCTGTATATCTTTTTAAAACAAACTTTTACTAACAAATTTGTAATAACTTTTACTGTGCCTAGTATATTGCTATCTTTTATAAGATGATGTTCTTTTTATTTACCATTTATAGGCCTGATGGCTTACCTCAAGTGGAGAGACGTGAAAAAAATAATTTGATAACAACAAGGCACTTAACTTCAACTTAAAACTGTGGCCTTTGTTGGACTCCAGTGTGAATTAGCATCAGACTTCCCATATAAATCCTAAAAAAAATAATTGTACTAATCTTGAGAATGGAACAGCTGAGGAAAATACAAAAATGAATCCTTTGACTTCTTGCAAAACATTGCCACCAATACTTTGACTTAGACTGACAACCTTCATAGAATCCATGTAAAAATTTCTTAATCAATTTCTATTAGTTTCCATCTAGTAGTCTGCAAAATTTTCACTTCAAAATGTCAATTTAGCTTGAATAAAGCAAAACTGGGATGGACCATAACTGAGACTAGGCATAGAACAACTTTACAACAGTGAGACTTCTTTATCCTGAAAAATATTTAAATTTCAAAGATACAAGGTCCAAAAACTTCTATTCCAAGAAATCGCAATCAGTATTCAAAAAAAAATTGATATAATGTCAGCCATATTTACTACATTGACCACATTTATTCAGGAAACCTCTATATATTTAACTGCACACTGAGACCTAAAAAGTGAATACAAATTGAACAGTTAAAAGTCTTAAAAATATTCTTGTGATGGGATATATTACTTTTTATTAACACAAACCATAAACAAAAGCAAGCGAATAACAATTATTATCATTATATTTACATACTAATTTAGCCCAAGCAGAAAATATGTTGTCATGTTTTGTAGCTCACTTTACAAAGTGAATTACAAATGTCCAAATCAGAGCCTTTGATCATACACCACAAATATTATAATTACTTTAAGAGAGAAATTACACATATTTGAAATCGCACATGCGGTAGATCTGGATAAAAAATACCAAGATGTATTGTTTACCGAATTGAATTGGGTATTGTTCACTCGCTCTCCTTGCGCGCATGAGCAAAATAATTTTGTTGTTCTCAACAAAAAAAACTGTAACATTTTCTCGCGAGCGAGAATAGATCTTCGCCAAAAAACGTCCATTTTACGCTTCTCGAAAAAAAACCCTAATGAGCTGAAGACTTCAGTAGTGTGTTAAATAAATTAAATGGAAACAAAATGTGTCGAAGATTGTAGTTTAAAAACTGTTTTCAGTCGACGGCGAGGACATTACTTAAATGCATATCACGCGCCACGCTTAGATCTTGCGTTCTTTCGACGCGAAATCTTTCATGATTCACAGCGTTTCTTGGACTTGAAAATTAGTCCTCAGTGCTTTATGGTGTACAGAGTTTGAGTTCAATACTCGTACATATCGTAGACGTTGCCTTTAGCTTTCGGATGGTGACAAGCACCGTGTGAATGATCTGCTTTCTTCGCGGGAGTGAAAGGTACTCCACCCGTTGTTGTCGCAGTGGCTGCCGTGGCTTGCGCGGTAGCAGCTTTCTGTTTCAACATTGTCCAGTCGAAAATGTAGTCGTACTGGTAATTCAAAGTCCGAAATAAAATCCTGAACAACTGACGGAGGTACATGTAATCTGGGTTCTCTTCAAAGCGAAGTCCACGGCAGTAGTTGAGGTACATCGCGAACTCGGCTGGGAAACCTTTGCAAAGGACTTCGACAGGGGTGGACATCTTTTTCTCGCTAATTTTCTCATATTTTTGCTTCTTAGTGGCTGCCTTTAAGCCTTGCCATGGCAGACTGCTTCGATTGAAGTACATCAGTACATAACCAAGTGATTCCATGTCGTCTCTTCTCGACTGTTCGATGCCAAGATGGGCATTGATGCTGGCGTAGCGCGCTGTTCCAGTAAGGTTTTTGTCCTCGCGATAAGCTATATGCTGTTTGGTTCGAGTATCGCGGTACTTCTTCGCTAAACCAAAATCAATCAAGTATAATTTGTTGCAGTGCCTGCCGACACCCATCAAGAAATTATCGGGCTTGATATCACGGTGAATAAAGTTCTTGTTGTGTACATATTCAACTCGACTAATCATTTGGTCTGCTAACATCAGAACTGTTTTCATTGTGAAGCGACGCGAACAGAAATTGAAGAGGTCCTCTAAACTCGGGCCAAGCAGATCCATAACCAATACATTATAGTCTTTTTCTTGACCAAACCAACGAACGATAGGGATTCCCACGCCACCTTGAAGGATTTTGTACAGCTTTGACTCGTAAAGAAGCTGTGGATGACGGGCTTTCTGAGACTCGAGCTTCACGGCGACTTCCTCCGCATTGCTCGAGGACACTGCCAAGTATATATCGCCAAAAGAACCGCTTCCAATCTTGCGAATAAGGCGGTATTTGCCTCCAACTATGAATTCAGACCTGGAACTACTACTACTGCCGCTAGCCATAGCGAAAAATTTCTTTCCTTGACAAGAAGATGTGAGTAAATCTTGTGCAATTAACCAAACATCCACCCAACACACGCCATATTCTCGAACACTAACAACTCAAAACAGTGAAAATGACGTGGGTAGCCAAGGGCTCACGCAATGGATTGTGGGTGACGCACTCTTTCTTCCGGTCTAATTTACGATAACAAAGTAATAACTCTTTCCGCTCTATTACCTGTAACTCCTACTACGACAGAAGACGGAAGTTCAATCCAAAAGCCCTCTCCTAAAACTATCATTGTCCTAAATCGCGTTATATGCAGGTATTAAGCCAAAAAATAATTCATTTTGCCCGTCTGCAAGTACGCAGGTCGTTTTATTAGATCGTTTCATTTCTCAATCAGTTGGCTGTGGCACTGACATGGATATTTTTATTTAAAAAGATTACTCAATTTCTAGGTACGGTCATGGGAAAATCTAACACGATGCTAAATGCGAGACGATTTTGTAATTTTTTAATAGTTGAAATTCATAAACCGGAAGATAGGAATTTTCGTAGGCGGGTGTAAGACGGGACATCAAAGAAACGTGACTAATCACACATCTGTATTGCCACTGAAGGAAACGACTTTGATTCGCTGGTTTCCAACCAAATCCCAAATATGGGGCTGATATTTGATTATAAATCATATTATAATGTATCTAACGCGTAGAGGATCCAAGAGTTGACGTTGAAAACGATGAATTTTAATTTTAATGACAAGTCAATCAAGGCAACATACGCAATTCTTACGTGACTCAGCGTGGGTCAGGGCCATAATGAGAGAGGCAGTCTTTATGAATATTTATTTATAATTATGTAAAATACAAAAGATGTTGAACCCATTAAGCCTAATTTTTTTATGTTTTAATCTAATTATTTTTCCTAAGCAAAATTTAAATTTACTTTTTGTAGGACATCAAATTTTAATATTTCTTAGTTAACTTCATTTCGGTAACAGTTTCTCAGTTTTATTCCTATCAGAATTGACAAAAATCCTAACAGGGCGTACAAGCTACATCGACTATTTTTTTTCAGGGTTGAATCGGTTTTTTTTTTTGGTTGGTCTTTTTAATTGGGACCTTGATTATCCCACGGATTATGACGGGCAATTCTGGGGTTAAGTTTAATGGAACAGGTCACGAAAAATTCAAATGGGATAATGGAAACACAAAAGAGATCATTTCAACAGCTTATCATCTCCATTCTAAATTGCTTTTTGTTTTCCTCACATGTGTCATCATAGATGAGAGTATACCCTTTATTTTGACATTCACCTTGTTTAGAGAAAACCAAAGTCAAACGTGTTTTTCATTAGTGACTAATTGGCTGGTATTGGTGTCAACTCAACAAAGTAACATGTGGGGCAATGGCTTACAGATATACTGACTCATCCTCTCGCCAGCTGCTTGTGAGGTTCCCATAAATACCTAAAGAAACCACAACATACCAGGCATGGCAGAGAAAAAAGGGGAAATACCTAGATATGGGGATTAAAATTTGGGACCTTTCCCAAAAACTTTTTTGTCCATTGGGGCATAAAATTGAGGATTTGGAGGCAGAGGGCACACTCTCCCTCTTCATCTCCCCCCCCCCCCTCCCAATTCCCTCCTGGTTCTGCGATCACAACAAAGCCGTTTTCTAGAAAAATGCCTGCTTAATGATTTTTGGCTCTTTCATAATGGCATAAATTGAAGGGGAGCAAGTATTAAGCTCTTACTTGCCACTGATAAAATGTGTTTCACAAGAGGGAATTTAGCAGTCTGCCGAGAGTCACAGAGGGTTTTTGTCCATGAATGCCTTCAATCAAGTGGATGTTACATCTACACATATTGCCAACAGCAGATATAAAAGTGCACATCAATAATATCTAGAGTGTATTATATTTATGACTTCGAAGGTTACATAATATAACTCTATGTCTGCAGCACAATAATTTCAAAAAGTAGCTGTTATTTGTTATGTAATGAATACACAGATTATAAAATTTCATTTTTCATAAATCTTTGTATGAGAAAAATAATCATTGTTTTAGCAATAAACTAAGAAATGTAATTTGAAATATTCAGGTCTAAGATCAATTTTTGCACATTATATTAAAATCATATAAAATTTTTGAAATGAGAGAAACATAAAGGAATCAGCAGTAATTTGATATTGGGGATAATGCACCATGGTTTTATTGAAGTCTGAACCCATGAGGGTAAGAGAATGATAGCTTCAAACTGAATATAAGGTAATTTATGAGGTAGTTTTCTTTACCTTGATCTAACAGAAAATTCTCCTTACTAAATTACAATGACATGTGTAGCTGCTAGAGGGGAGAATTAATAACCAGATCTTGAGTGAAAGGGTTAATTGCTCATTAGGTACTACTCTGAGAGCCTTGCTGAGTTGCATTTAAAGTAGTCATTATTCTCTTACATTACAACAGCAGTGACAAACTGAATTTGCATCCCTCCAAACTGCAGCACATGGATTGATTATCTTGGGCTAACTAATCTATCTCACTTTATTTCCAAGATAGCCCACTATTATTGATGTGTGACAGTAAATAGCACAGTTCACAGCTTATCAAGTCCTCAAAAGGTTCTTCATCAGATTGACTACGACAAGCACCTTTAAGAAGTTTGAAAAGGCTGGATGCAATGATCCATTTGCAAAGATTTCTTCATCAAACTCAAAGCAGTCTTCATCTACCACTTGGAAAAATTGCGCTTCACAAAAATGTTTTCCATTAGAATACTTAGTCCCAATGGAATTTCCATCATATTTTGCATCCTTGCAATGGGTGTAGATATCATCACAGAAACTTTTACAGATGTGAACTTTGCCTTCTTTCAACCATTTGTACTGATCTGGGCTGCAGAAGTAGCACATCATGTAATTCATGCGGTTTCGGCAGTCATCACTGGAAGTTGCCAGGTGAGGCATTCCTAAAAATGATGACGTTACTTCTGTCCTTGTGCAGCAGGAACTCTCTCTATACCATGTACAGTTGGAGAGGCTGTAAGCTTCTTTGGGTTTCCTTTCACTACCTGGAAGATGGAAATAGGGATTAACCCTTTGACCCCTGTGAGTGACTCGCATCTACTTTCTCCTTACAATATCACCCCTAAATCACACATGAAGGTCATGAGAATAACGGACACGATCAGAAACTAAAGAAGCTCTTGATTGTTAAACAAATTCTCCTTGACAGTGCCTTAGGAAATGTATAAGGAACAGTATGGAGAATGTGCATACTGATGTTAGGGTGTAAAGGGTGAACATGTATATTTTTATTTTTTACACACAATGAAAGCTGATCTCTCTTTTGAGTCACCTGGGTTTAACCATGGATATAATAGCAAGGTCATAAATATGTTATTTCTATCTACATCTCCCTATGAGCAACCCCCTGAGCATTTAAAGTTTTGAAGATTGATTCCTTTAAATTCCAACCCCCTTTCCCAGGCAAAAATTACCTTGAAATGCCCTACCCAAGCACAATTTTTGAATTGAATAAGTCTTCTGTGTGATCAATAGATGTTGCAGAATTTTGCAAAGTCAAAAATTAGTTTTTGGTGGCACGGTTTGTTTTCTTACTTGTAAGCATCATTTTGCAAAGTGAAAGTTTTCTTCTAAGCTACTTGTTCTTGAAGCTAACTCTTCATTTGAAACTTCTCAATATCAAAAATTCAAACACCTGCATTCCACTTGTTAAGATTCCCCATCCCACCCCAGACAAGGTTCAAATTCTACAGCTCTAGGGCAAAGATGACTGTTCAATACCTATTGGTTACCTGTCCCCCCCCCCGGAGGGGAGGGGGGGGGGGAGAAGGTTGAAGAGTTGAATTGAATAAAGGAAGCAATCACTGACAGAAAAAGACAAATTCTCCTCATTGGTTTAGGGTTTGAAGGGTATTGCACCCAGCAATCTGTTTCTTGGACTGGAGAGTGGCAGTGTAAAGGGATGACCAGCATCCCATTACCCTGACTGACTACCCTGCATAAGCTTTTTGATCTGTCTCAATCTTACCAGCATCCCTGGGATCTGTGAGAATTTTTGCCCATTACTCAAATGACCATTGTGGATTTTTCTCCTCAAGGTATTTTGTGACGTAATGAGTACATAAAACCAGAAACATATTAACCCCATTGAATGATTTTTTAAGCGTGCTGAGAGATTTGGTTTATATTTGGCCATACACATTTTGACACAAGGAAAATCGAGACAAAAGACAATAAATGGCTAAACTTCAGAATACCCCGCAACTTTGGTCCGCCTCACTTACATGTGTCGGGAGTCTTTGAAGATCGAGGCATAACACAATAGACGCTATTCTTATTCAATGACATGTAAATGAGTTGCGGGGTATTCTGAAGTTGCTCCCAATAAATAATCACTTGGAATAGTAACAAAGTCTGGATTATAGAAAAGCGACGGTGAAAAACGCGAGGAGAAACACGATATGTACGCAATGAAGAGTCACATCCGAATATGCCCTTTGCACCTTGGCCGCATTGCACAGACGGCCATGACCATTAGTGGCTTTCTCAGATTAGCGATACTTTCATGGCACGAGCTGGATTTAAAATCCTTTTACCTTTCAGGTTGACGTGAAAAGGTTAAAAATCTAGGAAAATAACCTAATTAATAAAATTGGCCGCTTTACAATAAGGATCCCTGAGGTCATTTGATTCGATAGACTATGAAATAAGCTCAGTTGCATACGAGACAAAAATACGTAAAAAAAAGAAAAGATTCATACCATAATAAGAGCATATCTGGCGCTGTGCAAAGCATTCAGCGAAAAGAAAACCCATTAAGAATCCTGTGATCAACAAAGCCAGCTGCAGCGACTTCGCCATGTTATGTTTTGGAGAAGAGTTCGGTATATTCCCGTCCAAAATCGGAAACTCCGTAAAAATCCGAATATTCTTCAACCAATCACAAGGCAATAAAATAATACGCCGAAATCGAGGTTGGAGCCGAATCCGGTTAAAGTATGGCGGTTCTTAGGAAAAAAGGAAAGTCACAGTGGAAATATTTAAATGTGCAATTCGTAATCGAATGGATAAAAATACTGTTGTTTGATCCAAGTAAGACCTGGGTGGTGGGCCTTGTTCTTTTGTTTGCAGAGATTGTGGTAAATGTTATGGTCATCTGGAAAATCAAATGTGAGTACAATAATTACTCCTGTGATCAGCTGATGTGATTCTTGTGTTTTTCGGATTCCATTATGTACTGATAAACTCTCTTTCAGATAGAAATATGATTTTTCCTGTTTATAAAAATTTTCGTCGCCTAGAATCTGCTCTTAGTTTATTCGCAAGGAATAGCAATGTACCGAAGTATCAGTCGCGTGATTTCTGTGGTCAGGAAGACAGATCAACCTTTTGGCTCCAAGGAGCTAATTCGTAAAGTGTATTTTTTTTTGCATCAAGTAATGGACAAACAAATATTCCCAAAATCTGGGTGGCCAGTGAAAATTTCATGCATTTGAAGCAAGTTTGTTTTATCAGATCCAAGCTGGAGGAACATGAATTTTAGCTAAACCACATAACAAAACACTAAGCAGTGTCTAGAACAAAGACAGTCTTTATTACCACAAGATTACTGATGTAATTTAGATGCACATCACCTAATAATGGGTGATGTTTCCCAGTTCTCACAGAAATTAAGATAATTTATTTTCAGATCTCAGGAAAATACACCTTACGGAGTAGCTATTGTGGAAGGGACAAGCTATTAATTACTTCCTAAATTGTTTCAATCTTTTTATGCCTTTGATCCTTGGCACTAACTGGCACAATTGAATTTGGCTGGAATCTCTGTTGATTTCTTATGGTGTGATTGGTTAATTTTACTCAAGTTACCACAGTAACATTAGCATTACTATACTTAATTCATTAAGAGAACTGGAAACATTATTATTTGAATATGCTTGGATTTATAGATACAGAGATAGATTGGGAAGCATACATGGAAGAAGTTGAGGGAGTTATAAATGGAACATATGATTACAGATTCCTGAAAGGAGCAACAGGTCCATTGGTGTAAGAGTGAATTTCTCCTTTCTCTCACTAAAATAGAAAAATAAAAAATGAAAATAAGTAGTAAGAATAGTTGCATGACCATGTAGTTTGGTTTATTTACCCTCCAACTCCCAAGATCTGATTGTTAATTCTCTCCTCTAGCTGCTACACATTTCCTTCTAAATTAGTTACAAGAATTTAGTATTGGATCAAGATAACAACTTCTGTCTGTTACATTTAAGTATTCTCATTACCTGTTTGTTGGATAGTGCATGGAGATTGTAGGGAGAAGTTACTTGTTAATCACCTCTGGGAGTTAAAGGGTTTAAAGGGTGATCTCTTGGGACTAGTTCAGAGAGCTACAGTTATAAGCCTTCCAACTTTAACATCAGTCTGCACATTCTCCTCACTGTTCTCTTTACAATTCTCATGGTACTGAAAGGGGAATGTGTTAACCAATCAAGGGCTTCTCTTGTTCACAATCATTTTCTTAAGTTAGTTGCATGTCACTTCTAGGGTTAACCTTTTAACTCCCAAGATGTGATTGTTAATTCTCCCCTCTAGCTGTGACCCATTTTCTTGTAATTAGTTACAAGAATTTGGTGTTAGATCAAGATAACAACTTCTTGCTGATAAGTTTGAGTTTTCTCATTACCTCTTTGCTGGATAACTTATGGATATTATAGGGAGAAGCTACAAATTAATCAGTTCTGAGAGTTTAATGGTCAATGTAAGAATACAGTTTTTCTTGAACAAAAGTCTTCCTCCCTTGATAGAGAAACACAACCACACTCTTTACTCATTGTTCTCCTAATCAGCTGGTAACAGGTTAAATATACTGCCTGTAGTACCTTACCTTATTTTATTATTACCTAAAACTGCCCTGAATTTTTTTAAAATTCAAGAGGTAAAAGAGTTTTGTTTGAAAATTTCTGTCACTTATCATGCTTAAAATAATGGAGAACACTGTTTCCTGTAGTTCATGTGTTTGTGACAACTTAAGTTGGGTATGTGCAAATTGTTTTTTCCTTTTTACTTCTCCTGTTTTATTGTAGTTATCCAGCAGGATTTGTCTACCTCTTTGCTGGATTGTATTATCTTACTGGTCATGGAACAGACATCAAGACTGCACAGTACATTTTTGCTGTTCTATATATACTCACCCTAGTGAGTGTATTTGCAATTTATCAAAAAACCTCTTCTGTAAGTATCCTTTTATTTAGTTTTGTTTTGTTTTCAAACAGAAACCTGACATGCAAGTTGGCACATCTAGTTAACACTTAAACTCCCAAGATTGGATTTTTAATCCTCCCTTCAAGCTGCTACACATTCCATATAAATTGTATACAATAATTAAGTGTTAGATTGAGATAACCTGTTTGTGATAAGTTTGAGTATTCTTATTACCTGTTTGCAGTCTAATATATGGATATTATAAGGCAAAGTTACATGTTAATCACTTCCAATTGATAACTCAGTGATTTCTTTATAGGTTCCACCATATGCCTTCTTCTTCATGTGTTGCACATCGTATAGAATCCACTCAATTTTCATTCTTCGTCTTTTCAATGACCCTGTGGCAATGTTTCTCCTCTATGTCGCAGTCAACTGCTTTCTGCATGACAGATGGAATTTAGGATGCATTATATTCAGGTAAAACTGGTTGGAAATCATTTTGCTGCAGGTAATGTAGCATGAAAAAAGATATCTACTACAAATGTTATTACTGTTATTTATTAAAGATTAAAGCATCGAATGTATTTTAAACAGCCTGGCTGTGAGTGTGAAGATGAACGTTCTCCTCTTTGCTCCTGGTCTGTTGCTGCTCTTGTTACAAACCTTCGGAGTTTGGTGGACAGTGCCCAGACTTGCTCTATGTGCTTTGATTCAAGTAAGGATTCTTTTGTTGTAATCACTTCACTATCAAGAAATGGAAATTTAAATTATTTTCCTAACTGATTGTCACTTACTTCTCAGTTTGCAATTCCAAAGACTCTGTTGTCACATAAACCATTATCAGTCTCAAGTTTCAAGACAAGTCAAAACATCTGTTGTGCCTTACTCAACTGAAAATTGTAGTAGCTTTTAATCCTTTAACTCCCATGAGTGACCAAGACAGAATTTCTCCTTACCATATCAATACAATATCAATCAGATAAATGTTGAGAATAACAAAATATACCAATTTGGGAAAATTAGTTGATCCAATACTAAATTCTCTGAACTAACATTATAAGAATTGTATTGTTGATAGTAAGGAGAATTATAATTTTGATCTGAGAGTCAAAGGGCTAAAGCATGGATTTTTTTTTTCAGCTTGTTCTTGGCCTTCCTTTTCTATTGGATAATCCCATCAGTTACATCACTATGGCTTTCAACTTGGGCCGGCAGTTTATATTCAAGTGGACTGTTAATTGGAGATTTTTACCAGAGTGGCTTTTTCTGAATCGTTATTTTCATGTTGGTCTTCTCTTGTGTCACATTACACTTTTGATTTTATTTTACTTATACAAGTGGACAAGGTAATCTATTTTATACTTTTTGTTTTATTCCAGAAACATTTTGGAAACTATTTTAGGCAGCCCCATGTTTTTGTAACTGCTGTGATGTAGCTAGTCCCCTTTGTAGAAGCACTTTAGGATGTCACTCTACGAGGCCACTGTATTTCATTAATAATTGTAATAGGACTGACTGGAGTGCAATTCAGTTTGTAATCATATAAGTGATTAAGAAGATCGGATGACTGCAAAGTGGGAGTTTAAGTTGTCAATCAATAGTATGATTACTGACAGAATTGGATGACACAAAGTCGTCTTATCAACTAATCAAAACTATGACAAAATTTGAGAAAAAAAACTAGACATCCTTTATACAGTTTTATAGAAAAAACAGTGAACTTGGCAAAAGGCAAGACAATGGTGCACACAAATGATGTGTTCTGTCCACTTACACAGGCATGACATGTTAACTGTTCCTTTAACTGTCCTATTACACTGTCCAATTACAAGTGTGACTTGTCCACCATCCTAAAATAGTGCTCAAATCAGGCTGGTGATAACCATTCATGTGTGAGAATTTTGTTATAGTTTTTATTAACCAAACAATTGGCAAAGGAGTAATTCCTCTTGATGTCTAGGTTGTTTTGACTTTTGTGTAGCCATGACACTACCTACAGGCATTTTCTGGAGTGCATAGCTCTTAGAAAAAATGTGAAAGGGTCCATGAATTCTATATGCCTGCTCTGGCTTTGTTCTAGATTTTCTGTCAGGCTCACAATTTGTTAGACTCTCAGAGGACATCTGTAGTTCTCCCCTTTTTTGCAAATTTGTTTAACCCTTTAACTCCCGTGAGTGATTAAGACAGAATTTCTCCTTACAATATCAATTAAATATCAACCAGATAAGTGATGAGAATAAAGAAAAATATCAAATTGGAAATAATTAGTTGATTCAATCCTCAATTCTTTGAAGTAACATTAGAAGAACTGTATGGTTGACAGTAAGGAGAATTACAAATTTGATCTGGGAGTTAAAGGGTTAAGACTCTCACAGTGAAGATCATTTTATCACTCAATGGTTAATAAGCTTTGTTAACTCTGCCAATTTTGTTCCATTTCGCAGAAAATCAGAATCTTTACAGAGTTATTTAAGAACATCTTTTCAAGGAGAAGCTCTAACTTCTAATCATATCCTTTTTAAACAAATACCAAAACAGTCCATGTGAATCAATAGTTGTGAATTTGGCTCGCAAGATATGAAATCTCTCTGTAAAAATGATAGCTACCTATGATTTTCTTACAAATTTTGTACTTTTTTGTATAAAGTGACTCATGTCTTGTGCATAGATGGAGTTGACCCCTTTAGCCCCTAAGTGTGATTAATATCTGATTTCTCCTTACAATATCACCCCTGAATCACATATTGAGGTCAGGAGAATAAAGGAAGTGATCATCAATCAAAGAAGCCCTTGATTACTAAACAAATTCTCCTTGTCAGCAGCTTAGGAAATGTATAAAGAACCGTATAGAGAATATACATGCTGATGTCAGGGTGTTTAAGGTTAGACAGGGCATGTATTCTTTAAGCTTTTTTTTGGAATATCCACTCCCGCATTATTTTTATATATTTTTTGTCTTTTTATAACTTACTGCTTAACAGATTGTTGATCCTTAATCATGTGTACAGATTGTTTATGTGTTATTTGTGTCTAATTTCATCGGCATGACCTTTTCTCGGTCGCTTCATTACCAATTTTATGTGTGGTATTTTCACACTCTTTTGTTCCTGTTGTGGAAGACCAATCTATGGATATCGGCCAGGTAAGCGATTCATTCTGTCCACTCTTGATAAACCGCGGACTTTCGTTATTGAAAAACTTCAATAGAGCGTTAAGAAAACCAGTAAAAGTGGAGAAAAATTCACGTAAGTGAGCCGCAAGCAAAGAGATTGCAGTGTAGAGGCCTGAAAAATTCAACGGGATTTGTACCCTTTCCTTCCAGATATTAATTGCGTGCCACTGCCAACAGAGTTACGATGGTACATTTTGAGAGCGGAGCAAATTTGAGTTGGTTCTTCGTTTTCGTTGAGGAATTTGATCACAACACTTGTGAGAGCAAGAAAAATAAACGAAATGTGCCATTGCTATATATTCAGATTTACGAAAAGACGATATTAAGCATAAGCATAAGCACTCTACAATGAACCTACTATCAGTTTTCAGTTTTCAATTGAGTGACGAAATACCAAATTCAGAAGAATCACAAAGGCCTATCAGAACAAAAGTTAATATCATCACTAGCCAATGAGAACTCAAGAAAAAACAAGCGAACCGCCAAAAGGTTTTAGCTTGGCATGTGATTGGTTGAGAGAGTGGCGCAAGTTTTATAGACTTTCTTCTTATGGTTCTCTTTTAGGCTCCTTATTCTTGGGGTCATAGAGCTGTGTTGGAATACGTACCCATCTACTGTGATAAGCTCCATATCCTTACACATCTGTCACGCCGCAATCTTAGGGGCCCTGTGGCACGCTGAACCTTTATTTACAAAGAAAACCGGCTCCAGGGAAGAAAACAAGAAAGAGTGAATGTTTCAAATGTTTGTAAAATGAAAAATAATCAACTCTGTCGGTTTTTGACGAGAAATGATGAATCCTTCCTGATGAAAGTAATTTGAAATAGAGATACGTTAATATAACTTTTTTTGTAGTAGTACTGAATACAAATTTAATAGAAAGTAACATGTCTACCAGAATTCGATTGTTTGATTCTTTTGTGAATTTTAAGCAAACCACATTTCTAGCAAGAACATGACTGCAGAGCCCAATAAGCCCAGTAAACGCGTTTCTCCAGAAAGCTGAAAACATAACAGGAAACCATGATTCGTTTCTCTTTCAACGTTCAAAATTCGATAGTTTATCTCTTTTAAAAGGTAGGATTCACTTCTACCAAGAAAAACGTCCTGGCTAAAGGTGAATCTGGTTGTGGAGAAGAAATAAACAGATATTTTTGACGAAAAAAGCTGATGAAAAAATAAAAAATGAATCAGGTGCAATTCTACGCGTTTGCCTTTCCCTCCCCTCCCTTTTCTTTCCCCCCCCCCCCTACCTGCCCCCCTCAACTTTCTCCGTTTTGAATAGTGTTTTAAATTTCTTGAAACGCGTTACTTTTCCGCGGGATTAAGGCGTTTTCAGGTTAGAGACGAGGATTCTTCCTTATCCCGAGGTTTGTCAACCTCGTTCCCAGGCTCTTTTTTCTTTCCTTTGGGAAGAAGAACTCGGGGACGAAGTTAGAGGTTCGTTTCACCGGAACACTTGTAACACGTAATTGACATGTGCTCGACTGCTTTGTTTGCGCAAGGAGCTTTCCAAACTGACAGTTTTCGGTTATACAATCGACAAAATATGCAAGTCGTTTTAGGTAGGTACTTTTTAGAATGACGAGTTGATGAGGGCGAAAATCGCTTCGAAACCGTTCTATCACGAAATGGATGCCTGGTAAGTTTCGTAAGCTCCAGTCAGCTCTTTCACACAACCTTTGTTGAGGAAACTATAGACAAACAAATTGCTATGAAAGTTTAATGGCGAACTGCATAACTTAATCAAGCAAGGACAACAATTTTTGTTTTCAAAAGTTGCTTGGCAACTGGCGATTTCTGATGTACACAAGCGAAGTACCATCTAATCAGCATTTGCGGTAACTTGGGATCCCAAATCTAAGGTTTGTCTATCAGTCCGAGCGTAACTCTAGAATTTTGTACTCAGTCTGTAAGTTCCGCTCCTATTGGGGCCGAGGTTATCAGAACTGGATAATTGAATGTTCTTTGTTTAAGTGGCAGTTGTATAAACTGGGTCAAGAAATGTCACTTGTTGATCAAATAATTTTAGCCATCTGTGTCGATTGTTTCACTTACTGAACTCTTAAGTTCAAAAAGCTTAACAAAGTAGTTGTTGAGAAGTTGTTTCCCAGATGGCAATACCTGAACTTTGATGGAAGCGGAATATTTTCCGGCGAGATTCTAATAAAGAAGTTGAAAAATGACTAGGAATTTAAAGAAAATTAAACACAAACTCTTTCTAAGGTTCCTATCTATTGACCTCAGACAAATTTAGCTCTTGCATGTTTGAATTTCGAACATGTTACAGCTGCGGAGCCAACACGTTTTTTTATAATACGTTCGCCGGTCATCGAGCTGTTCAGAGACGGTTTGGTCTAACGAAGTTGTTTTTGGAGAGCGATTATCAGTTATCAATATAGCAATTCAGACGACGACAAAGGTAAGTTTGCATGTCTGTATACTTGAATGTGCCACGGAGCATCTCTCTGAATTTGTGACAAACTTCAGTTCAAGCGAAGCATTTTAGTACTTGTTCTTAAGTTTCCGAATTTTCAGAAACGTTAGAGAGCTATATAATAAAGGTGAATAGTAAAAACAAAAAGAAAATTTAATTTTCTCTTTCGAATTGATAGAGGGCTATATAAGTTAGCTTAAACGAGGAAAATTTTGTTTTGCGCAATTTTTAAGGCATTTTAGCCAAATGCGGTGGAATCGCACACACAGTTGAAACTGGAGATCAGGTCTTACCTCAACAAGAACCTTAAACACTTGAATTGTTAGTTTATCTGCACTCACCAAAACTATTTCAGAACGGTAAATCAGTTTTTTTTTATGCGAAAAGTCATCGAACACTTTGTTAGGAACTTCTAGATAACATGAGCCAAGCTGAAGTAAGTGCACGTGGTTTCGAAGATTAAGCTGAAATATTTTGCGCAATAACAACTCTCTTCAAAGAGATTTCTTTCACCTCAGAATGCTGGTATCAAAGCTTACGGCAAGCAATCTATCAATGTTGAGAATTCAAGAACAAACTACGAAAATTTTCTTCACGTTCTGTCTGCGATGAAGGCAATCGCGAAAACAATCTTGTTCCCAGGCTTCCTCTGGTTCAAATACAGTCGCATTTTTATTAAGGCTGTTTCACTCTTTCATTCGCGAGATTTCAATAAAATTCTCCTTACTGTCTGCTATACATTCTTTATGATATTAAGTTTGAGAATTTGCTGTTGAATCAAATGATATCTTTTCTTTATTCTCATCACTTGTTTGCTTTATGTGGTATAGGACATGTAAAGGAAAGGTACTTTTAGATCGGTCGTGGTTGTGAAAAGGTTAACTGAAGCTGAAAGATGAAGATAAGGGATCTAGGAAAATTTACATGATTTAAAAAGGAAGCAGCGACATTTGTTGGAAAGCTTGTTTTGTTGTTTTTTTTTTTCAGACTTAAAAATTGGGCTGTTCAATTTTATAATTAAACTAAGAAATGACTGTATTTTTTTTACAGATGAAGATTATCATGTTTTTAGCGTTGGTGATTCTGTTATACAGCTGTATGGAGCCAGTCACAGCGCAAGGGGGGAAGAAAAAGGTCCTGCGCATGTGCAAAGGAAAATTCAAGAATTGTTTGACAAATAAAAAGTACAAAAAGAACTTCAAAGCTGGATCAAAATGCTGTGGAAGGGCCTGGACGGTAAGTATTGTAAGATTATAAATATCCATTTCATCCTAGAGACGGGATGAGTGAGTGTAAGGCAAAGACCGGAAATAGTTTTTTTTTATGTTTATCGAATTTCCTTCTTTTCGTCATTTTCTGCCAAACTTGAACATCACTCTGATTTCTTTCAAGGTTTGCCAGCTTCATCGTCGCTCATGCCTGAAGATCTGTCATCCATCGTACCGGAAGTGCATGTGTGGGATGGGGTTTGGTTACTATTGCTGAAGAAAACCGCAGACCAGATGTAGCAAAGGATCCTCAACTTTGCATTTCCTGAGAAAGCATTTTAAGATTAAGATTTTTCGCTGTGCTTAATATCCCGGTCCTGACGCCTTTAAAGGCTTTGCTTCGCACACTTTTTTAATGAGCAACTGTAGACTAAAGATACTTGTCCAATAAAAGCGAGAATAATTTTCCACAAATGAACAACTTCATATGAACAGCAGCCTGAAAGACTATTTACATTCTCCAAGAGTGACAGCGAAATTTGGCCTCAGGACATCGGAGAGCGTTGGGACTTTCATCTGTGATTGGTTGGCCCTTTTAGAACGCCTTTTGATTGGGTGTTTTAAAACTAAAAAGAATCCAAGCGACCAGTCTGAGCAAAGGTTGAGATTATCATTAGCCAATGAGAACTCATAGTGAAAACAGGGGAAGTGCTTGAAGCGCGGGAGAACGCAAGTGATCAAATCGCGATTATTCTTACTTTTGCATCTGATTGGTCGAGAGGATTGCGTGAGTTTTCTAGAACAATCACAGAGCAAAGTTAAGGAAAGCCAAAGATATTCCGGATTACTTTCGGTACTCAATTGAAAATTACGCTGAGTCATTTTGATAGATAGGTTCTTGCGCACCGTTGTTGAAACAACCATTCAATGATACCCCAGCAAAAACTAAGAAATCTAAAGGTTTCGTAAACGTACAGAAAATGCGAGTGTCTAAAAATGCTTGATAAGTTCCGAAAACGAACACAGCATGTGTCGAAACCAGCCGGTAGGGTCCGGAACAATTCCAAAACAGAAGCATGAGTCCGATACCAGACGATAACGTCCGAATGCGAATGTAAGTGTCCGAAACTAGACGGTACCGTCCGAAGATGATCGAAAAGGCACTCAACCGTCGAAGAACGAAAGTATCATGCCGAAAGGAAGCCACTCGCAAGGAGTGAGTGGGGAAGTTAACATTAGTCATCTTGGGTAATATATCCCAAATGATATTCCCCAATTTTCAAACCTTACGACTACTACGATGAAAGCGTTCTTTTTAAAATAAATTCAAGACGACAAAGACTTGAACTAGTTTTACAGAAGAAAGGACATGTTTGTTTGTTCATAAAGTCGTCCCGGAGAACATTGAAAAGTAAACATCTCACGCAGCAAACTAAAAGCTGTTGGAAACATTTTTCCCGCCCGATGCCAAAAAAAAAATTGAAGAATAATAAACATAGCCTGCAGAGCAGGTATTATTTTGGCGAGCGAGTGCTTAAGTATTAGCGAAATTATGGAAGCCATATTCTATTTTAATGACAGCGGAAGGTTGGGGAGAGACGGGGTTGGTCGACGGTCAAAAATAAAGGTAGGGGTAGGGGTGGGGGAAAGATTTTTTTTTTTAAGCCTTCCCCACCCCCCTCCCCCACCGCCTCTATCTCCAAATCAAACATAGCCGGTTGAATAAACGACCGCGAGCTTCTCAACGTTAACTCGCCCTTATAAGACGCCTGCACTGCAGGCTAAAACGAACACAATAACCTTCATTTGGAGCGAAAACATGTACGGATATTCGTCCTTGGACATTATTTGTTCATCGAAGCTCACAATTCTCCTCGAGAGGCACTAGTGTTTCTTTGCCCGGAAGAATGTATGAGGTTTTTAAGCAATGCGAGTCGGGGAGAGGTCTGTAAGGGGTCTGGCACGGAAATTATCATTAGGGCCAGACCCCCGGCAAATTTATCCCCGACTTGTCTCAGGTCTTCCCGCAGGAGGAGAAACGCGCATCCTGCAGCTTGCTGGCTGGTCGTTTGTTGTGCGTTTTAATCAAAAAGACAACTTTGGACAAAACAAGCAAATACGAGTTGATTTTCATGAAGCTCTACCCGTACGCTTCCACTCTACCAACAATTGGCTTGGCACATGGAACAAAAAACGTCCTATAACTTTCCCCTCAAATTATTATAAACATTATGGTGGTAAATTCCCTTACTTCGAGATGCTGTAGTTTCACATGGACGCGAGGAAATAGTGCAAAATTTAGCACAATAGCTAAGAACGTCATTGAAAGTTTGTCCTACGAAAAAGGAATTTAATATATCGAATAGAACGTAATTTAGAGCCCTTTCCGTAAATAGTAACATGTCGCAGCAGTTAAATCGACTGTAAACTTAGCGGCATCAAAATGTTGAAACGGCCACATTCAATATATTGATTACAAATTTACTCAGCAGCAGGGTCTTATCTAAAAAAAAAAAATCCTAAAGTTGCGAGAAAATCCACTGAGGAATTTATGATACCATCCCCCAAAACTGTTTAACCCTTTAACTCCCAAGATGTGATTGTTAATTCTCCCCTCTAGCTGCTACACATTTCCTTGTAAAAAAGTTGAGAGAATTTCATTCTAGATCAAGATATCAACCTCTACCTGATACATCTGAGTATTCTCATTACCTGTTTGCTGGATAGTGCATGGATATTTTAGTGAGAAGTTATTTGTTAATCACTTGTGGGAGTTAAAGTGTTAACGGAATTTCCCATAACATCAGCATAATAATTGCGCTTGCCAAGTCACGCCCACTATTTCAACATTCTATTCCTTAGGTCTTACGTGTGAAAGAGCTTGTTCCTTTTGAACGAAAGCGAGATATTTTTATACAGAATGAGACGTGTGAGGGCACTAGTTGCAATGTCACTGATCCCTGAAGCCCACTGAGAGTCATAAGGGACGTGGTAAAGGCGCGAAGGAAGGTTAAGTGTAATAAAAGTTGAAGGTTTAATTTGTGTTGCCTACGTGGACTTGGAAGACGAATGAGGTAAAAAGAGCATGAAAAAGCTTATGGTAAAAGCTGGAATGAATTGTATCCGCCGTTGTGGGTTTCTTATCGATAGTTAGATCATGAATTTCACGGGTTGAAAGGGACTTGCTTTGAAAACATTGTGAGGATAAAGTTAACAGGTGACTTGCGTGAAACAATATGGTAACAGTTCTCAACGTCGTGACAAGCACGTGGCCAATTTCCATATCTGACTATGACGACACTCAACCAAAATTTTAATATGATCTACAACAGGCATCCCACGTAATTATTGAAGTTGTTTACTGCAAAATTTTCAAGCATTCTGAATAAAAATGCCCGGATCAATATCAGTATCTGGGCAACTGCCCACCTACACCTCCCCTAACCCAACAACAGTCTATTGATAACAAGTCAGGGTTAATGTTGGGTTTCTGATTTTCCCAAAAGAAACTATTTTTTTTCTTTTCATATATGATGCTCCAGAGCCCTTTGCTCAGCTCGTGTGGCGGTGCTTGGTGCGAGTTACCATGTTTTTAAAACAAGAACAACAATGTATATAACGATAGTGTCCAACATAATTAAATGAAATCAATGATATTTTCACCCACGGGTGATACACCCTATTGGTGATAAATTTTGCGGGTCTTTAATCTAGCGGTTTATATATATATATATATATATATCTATATTGTTGGGGGCTTGTGAAATTCGCTAAGTAAAACTTATTCTCGTGGCGGCATTTAGAAATAAGTTCTGTTCTTTTGTTTAATAAAGACGGCTTCTTAGCTCTAACTAAATAAAATTTTTCTGTGAGGCACAGTGGCACCGCTTGCTTTTGTTGCTGTAGGCCGGGGCGGTCGCTAAAATACTCCAGTTAATTGTAAACTTGGTGTTGTTGTCTTTAAGTATCCAGATATGCTTTGATAGTTCCGTGCTGTTTGAATAGTTTCTGTTCCGCAACACAAACTTTCTTTGTATTAAGAAACTATTCAAATCGAAAAATGCAAAAATTGCTAACTTGTCTTTATTGATTAATATCAGTATCTGGGCCGAAATGACGTTAACTTGCAAATGTAATTTCAAATGAATGGCCTTATGTAATAAATATTTTTAAAATGTACGACCTTAAAGTTTGTAAAAAGCTCTAAATGTCGCCACGAGAATAAGTTTTACTTAGCAAATTTCACACGCCGCCAACAATAGCTCTATAGAATCTTTATTTCACACGTAGATTAGATCATCACACTAGTGAATTAATCAGCTACTTCTCTTATTTGTATATAAGGAGGTATGTTCTTCAATGAATAAAGTTCGGTCTGACGAGCGCTTAGGCGCGAAACTCAGAGTCACAGAGAATCGATGCGTCCTCTTTAATTCTTTGACTTTTCTGCTACCACAGCATTGAGTCGTCTACCCCCACATTCATTTATATATATATATATATATATATATAACTTCTGTATTTTTTCGATACATATTTTAATATATGTATATACATGTGTATATATTTCATATACAGTTATTAACTCGTCTTATTTTGTATCTTCTGATGTGAAATGACGAATTTAAGAACGTTTCATCTTCATTGAATTGATTCGAAATTTAACCTCTTTCGTGTAGTCGTCCTTGTTTTTTACAAACAAAATGATTGTAGCGAAATTTAATGCCTTGTCTTGTATTGAAGTCGCAAAAAATAAAACCCGCAAAATACCGTCTTACCAAAATCGAGTAATTTGGTACCTGCGAAATCAATTACCAGTTAGGTTGAAGTTAAGAAAAGATCTTTGGAGGTTAGCTTCAATTAAAACAATCGCAGAAAAAAAGCCCGATTAGGTTCAAACTTGAACAGGAATTGAACCCGTGCCTTGCAGATGCCAATTAGGGCGTCTACCAACTGAGCTATGCGAAGCCGCATGAAGAGAGGGAGAACAAAAAACGTAGGTTCTGCCTGCGAAGATCGTTTCTCCATTTTTAGTGCTACATGTTACCCCTTATCTTTCCGAAAAAATTAACGGCAGGGTACACTGCATATCTCTAAAGGGCAGTACAATAGAGAACCTTTGACACTGGAAATGATCCGTGGTTTCTTTTTCGTTCGCAATGTCTCTTGTGTCTTGACTTTTGTATCACGGTTGGCAGTCGTACAAGTCAATCGAAAAAGCACACGATCTTGAAAACTGGTTGCAAAAATGAAAGTCGAACATCCAAGGCGTGTTTGGAGGCGCTCGTAATCAGTTTGAAAATTACTTTGGCTTTGGTGGATGGGGAAGGTGAAAGAGAATGTGCAGCGACAAGTCACAATTTCTTTAGTGGTTACACTACTAGGCGTGCAATTTGCTTCAGAAACAAAAGCCTTCGCCATTTATGTGATCGTCTTTTTGACGCCTTATCAAAATGTCATAACATGCTTGGATTAAATCTAGCTGCACATGTGTCCATTTCAGTTTCCTGTCTCAGTTTCCCATATCAGCTTCCTGAGTAGTCGAAAAAAAGATGGCACGAGAAACAAAACCATTGTAATTGTCTAGTTGACAGCTGTAACCTTGCCAAGAATAAAAACTGTACTTCTCTCCATAAATAACCCATAAAATCTGTAGCAATGACTGACCGGAAGTCCACCATACTTTCATTATTTCAACTTACGACATGATGCGATTTTCATCTGATCGAAAACAGTGAAAATACAAACGTTAACAATGGATTACCTCAAAGAATTACTTGCACCAAAAACATTTAACAAAGTCAGCCATGTCGCAGTTGTTTTTTGGATCCCGATTGGTGTAATTTTCCTTGGCATTTTTGCAGAGATTGAAAACGGCGAATCCAGGTATGATTTCTACTGTGGCGGGGCGAAGAGTGATGACATCGACCTTGTGAGTGGAAAATGTCTCGAGCTGTACGAGGAGCGGTACAACAAACACGGTGTTGCAATCTATTGCTTCGTGTTACTTAACTTTTTTCTCATTGGAACTGTTTGTGCGATTTACTCCCAAATAGTGAGCCATACAGTCGATCAACTGTTGCCTAGCGCTCGTGATGGTGATCTCGAGAGACAGTCGCCCGACCAAGATAATACATTATCAACTGGAAAAAAGCTCTTTAACGCTTACTGCTGTCAACTTTTCACAAGGTTTCTGTTAGGGGTTCTCTTCATGGTCCTACAAAGTCAATTTCTTTATCCTCTGGACTTTCCCTCCAGCTTTTCTTGTTATCTAACCTCCGGAGGGAATCAGCTAAGGAATTCTACTGGCGTCATGCAAAACTCCACATCAATCTTACACGAGTGTCATAATCAACGAGCAACTAAGAAAAACTCCTGGATGCGCGCTGTTCTTGTCGTGAACGGAATTTTTCTCTTTGGCATTCTGTTAGAAACCGTCTATATTTTGCTACGAGCCTGGAAAGAGGATAGTTTCATGAAAAATTCCAAGTTTCTAAAAGCTCACCTGTTGAGACCTGAACCTCCGCAGCAAGAAGAAAGAACAGAGCAAGAAACGAACACCTCACAAGAACAACACCAGGTAGAGGAGAGTAAAGAACATGAAACGAACATCCCACATCTACCAGGCAAGTCTCATGAAAAAAGAACAGAGCAAGAAACGAACGTTCCACAAGAACAACACCAGGAAGAGGAAAGTAAAGAACATGAAACGAACATCCCACATCTGCCAAGCAAGCCTCAACAACTCCAAAAACCACCGCTTCAGGAATTCATAGACAATACAAAGAAAATTATTAGCGATGAGACAAATAAACCTCCCCAACTCCGGTCGCCTTTTTCAAGTACTCCCGGCGAAGGACACCCATCTAAACATTTGACCCTGGATCAGATTTACACAAACCTTGTCGTTGTTCCAGACAGAGCCAAATATGATTTTTCTGGAGGCAGAAGGGAGAAACTGGGAGTTTACACCAGAGCTGGTGAGAAAAACACAACACCTAGAGGGCCGGAGGACATTCTTAACAACGAAAACAAAAACGTTTTGATTGTTGGTCGTCCCGGAATCGGAAAGACACTTTGCTGTACCAAACTCCTCAGAGACTGGGCATTTAACAAAGTATTCCATGAATCATCTGATGTTAAAATCCATTTTGATGCTGCTTTCTTCATCAAATTCAGAGCATTCAACGCGGCAACCGACCTTAGCCTCCGGGAACTGCTCACATCGTCAGAACATTCCCCCTCAAATCACATGGATGATGAAGTCTGGAATTACATCCTTGAGAACCCCCAAAGAGTTCTCATTATTTTCGATGGAATCGATGAATTTAAACCTAATTCAAAGATAGGGGAGGAAAATTTCGAGCCTCAATTCAAAAACCGCGTAGATGAGAAGATGCCCTTGTATGCTCTATACGAGAAGCTTGCGACTGGGAAACTACTCAACGGAGCTGCCGTTTTGACAACCACAAGACCTACAGCTTTGTCATGCATCGAGCGTGTTGATTTCGACAAAGTTTTCGAGATCCTCGGCTTCTCATCCGAACAAGTCGAAGAGTACGTAAACAAATTTGCTGAAGAGGAGAAGCATGCGGGCGAAACAATATGGCGACACATCGGCGGCAACAGGAACATTCTCTCTCTATGCTACATTCCTGCGAGTTGCTTCATCATTTGCTCAACTCTCTTTCAAATGGTGAAGTTCTATGGTTCTAAAAGTCTTAGCCTACCAACGAAATTAACAGATATTTACAAGAAGGCAGTGAAAATATTTTACTTAAGACACAACGAAGAATTCCGTGGCAAGAATTTCACTCGCGAAGATTTTGAATCAGATAATTTGCCCCCTAACGTTGAAAAGAAATTCGAGAAACTTGAAAAAATGGCATTTGAAGGAATTAAAGAAGGAAGGCTGGTCTTCGGGGGAAACGAAGTACGCGGATTGGAAGGCAGCGCTCTTTTTCACCGCTTACCCGACCGTGAAACTGCCGCGTCAAAACGTGAACAACAATTCTGTTTCATTCATTTAACAATGCAAGAGTTTTTCGCTGCGAGGCACCTAGCAAACATGGATGAAACAGAACTGAGGAACTTTGTTTCTACGAACATCGCGGACGGCAAATGGCAGCTGGTTTTTCAGTTTCTAGCAGGACTAATGAACGAGAAAGAAAACCTACCGAGCGAAATCATCACAGACCTTCTTCCTGTGGAAACTGAAGAGAAAGAAAGCGAGTGGTACAACGAAGAGTGGACAGAGGATATGGAGCCAAGGAAAGTAACTTGTTGGCCGACTGAAGACAAAAAACATTTAGCAGTGACATTATTTAAATGCATTAACGAAAGTAGTGAGATGGAGGAAATAGTTCAGAGAAAACTACAACAAATTAACTTTAATTTTGTAAATTTTAATGATTGTCAACTCACACCTGTTGATTGTGCTTCAGTAGTTACTGTAATTAAGAATGTTCAACAAATTTCACATTTAGATTTGGCCTACAATAACTTTGGTCCATTAGGTTGTTTTGAAATTTGTAAGTTGTTAAAATGTAGTAAATCTCAACTGAGCTGGTTAAACCTCAGAGGAAATCAATTGACAGACGAAGGAGCAAAGTATTTAGCTGAAGCCATCAACAACAACAACTGTCAGCTACGCACGTTAAACCTCACAAGAAATAACATCTCAGACATTGGAGCACAGCACTTGGCTGAAGCCATCAACAACAACAACTGTCAGCTACGCACGTTAGACCTCTCACAAAATAACATCTCAGACATTGGAGCACAGCACTTGGCTGAAGCCATCAACAACAACAACTGTCAGCTACGCACGTTAAACCTCTACAGAAATAACATCTCAGACATTGGAGCACAGCACTTGGCTGAAGCCATCAACAACAACAACTGTCAGCTACGCACGTTAAACCTCTCAGCAAATAACATCTCAGACATTGGAGCACAGCACTTGGCTGAAGCCATCAACAACAACAACTGTCAGCTACGCACGTTAAACCTCACAGAAAATAACATCTCAGACATTGGAGCACAGCACTTGGCTGAAGCCATCAACAACAACAACTGTCAGCTACGCACGTTATACCTCACAGCAAATAACATCTCAGACATTGGAGCACAGCACTTGGCTGAAGCCATCAACAACAACAACTGTCAGCTACGCACGTTAATCCTCTCAGCAAATAACATCTCAGACATTGGAGCACAGCACTTGGCTGAAGCCATCAACAACAACAACTGTCAGCTACGCACGTTACACCTCACAGCAAATAACATCTCAGACATTGGAGCACAGCACTTGGCTGAAGCCATCAACAACAACAACTGTCAGCTACGCACGTTATACCTCACAGAAAATAACATCTCAGACATTGGAGCACAGCACTTGGCTGAAGCCATCAACAACAACAACTGTCAGCTACGCACGTTACACCTCAGAGCAAATAACATCTCAGACATTGGAGCACAGCACTTGGCTGAAGCCATCAACAACAACAACTGTCAGCTACGCACGTTAGACCTCACAGCAAATAACATCTCAGACATTGGAGCACAGCACTTGGCTGAAGCCATCAACAACAACAACTGTCAGCTACGCACGTTAGACCTCTGCAGAAATAACATCTCAGACAGCAAGCCATCAACAACAACAACTGTCAGCTACGCACGTTAACCTCACAGCAAATAACATCACAGAAGCAGGTAAACAACACGCAGAGAATTTACTTAGCAATAGTCAGTCTAACTGTCGCCTTATTATCTAACATCGCCAATTCACAAATAATTGCTTAATCTGGAAAAAAAAGTTAAATAATCACTTACAATTCAAAATGTGAGGCAACCAGCTCAGTGACAATTACAACACAACCACTAAAATCGTGAATGAACGAAAGAAAACAAAGTTTGTGAAGCGCTCAGAGCAGAGAGATTATTTGAACCGGATCGAAATGAAGAAAAATGAACCAATGAACATGTTTATTGAGAACAAAGGATGTCAAAGTGTCTTTTTTTGTAAACGAACCAATTAACATTGAAGTTAAAACACAAAACTTACTGCATAGAAAACAAACAAACCTCGGACCTCTCAGGAAACTTTATCATTTTATGATTGGTTTATTTAGATCCTAAATTTACTGCATGCTTTTGTATGATTTGATCATTTATGTCTCTCACAAGAAATAGTTTTCCGGTTAGTTTATTGAAGTTTTTTTGGAGATTATAGGCGGATCAGATGAGTAAATACGATACAGATCGCTTGCAAGGATAAAAGTTTTCTTTTTTTTAAAAGTCTGTTTTTCTTTTCGATCAAAGCGATCCGGTTCGAGTGGTTTCATAGTGTAAACAAATTGTAAATAAGGAAACCCATTACTTTTCAAAGACAAAAGACTTTATTGTAGGTTAGTGGTGTGAGACATATATTACGTTACACAATTTTTTAAGGCGTATGCAGTAGCTTTAAATATTGGAGTGTTTTTGCACATATTTTTTGCCTGTTACTATTACCATGATAAAATGAAAGGTATAAGACTTAAACAAATGAAGATGCTGCTCAAGTAGTGTTCATATAAACTGTGATGATCACTCTAATCTTCATTTATTGATCTGCAGTTCAAATATAAGATATTACTATATTCACTATTGTTCAAGACTTGAACAGTTAAGATTTCACTGACTAGTATTTGTAGATAAGAGCAGATCTCCTTGTTGAATAAATCATGTAAGCAGATTTATTCTTTGTGTTGCTATAAATTCAGCCCCTATGGTTAGACATATCAGACTTTTCAAAGAAAAATGATTGTTGTAATCACAATAGAATAAATGATCCTTAATAAGTCAGCACTTTAACGTTGTGGCTATTCAAAATTCTTTGTGTTGCTATCTGTATGTAAGGAAAGTCGCTGGTTCCCTTTCATCAAGAGCGTTACTATTTGGTTAAGTTTTTGTACATAGGACATTGGAAACAGACAGCCTTCGAATCGAGTGATGATGGTAGACAATCAGCCCTCCTAAGTAAAGTTTTGGCTACAGACTTTTTACAGACTTTTTTTTTTTATTTTTTATTTTATTTTATTTTTATTTTTTTATTTTTTACTTTCGCCAAACCTAAGGATCCTGTCACGAAAGAACAACGAACCGACGCCATTTATTCTATTCCTTGCAATGACTGTGATAACGAATACATCGGACAGACCAAACGCCAGTTTGGGACACGGTTAAAAAAGCGGTTTTTCTTTGCAAAAAGGAAAATTCAGCTTTATCGGAGCATACTTGCCTAACCAACCATACAATTGGGTGGGATAATTCTAAAATTATCACTACTAATCGGCGTTACCACCAGCGCCTTTGTTTGGAGGCTTGGCACATTAACTCCGCCCACGCTCCTTTAAATCGTGACGATGGCGGTCTGCTTCCTGACGCCTATTTACACCTCGTCAGAAAAAAGGCCGCTAATTAGTGATCATATAAAAGGACCTCTTGTTGCAGCGTTTAGATCACCCCTGATGAAGGCACTAGACAGGAGTGTCGAAACGTTGGGTCTATGAATTGTAACTTCTTCAAATTCATTAAATCTGCAAAATTAGCTTCAAACTATGTCTGATTGTCCACCTGGTTGCCGTGTGAACTTTAATATATTAAAAATATAAATAATTTATCTGAGAAACATGATCAGCTCAAATAGAAGCTTTTTTCAGTAGTACCTTTTCTTTAGCAGAGATAGCACCCTTCTCAAAATCAACCGTTGCCCTGCCTTAGGTTGAAATACAAAATTATTCCAAGCCTATTTTAAACCTGGACCAAAATTCCACAGCCTGTCTAAAACCAGTAATAAAATATCTTTAAAAAAATGACATGAAAATAGCTTATTACCTCAAATAAATGCCCAACCAGATATTGAAAATTCTGGTCCAAATTTTCATCATACACAATCATGTTTAGTTTTTCATAATATGCATGTTTAGTTTGGAGAATTCGGTATTGGATCAACTAATAATCCCCTCCCCTAGCTGATATTTTCTCGAATCCCATCACTTGTCTGCTTGATATTGTATTGATATTGTAAGGAGAAATTCTGTCTTGGTCACTCATGGGAGTGAAAGGCTTAAAGGGTTAACACACAATGAAAAATTGCTTGACCCTATTTTTAATCAAGTTTCTTTCACAAGTTAACAAATATTCAATACCCTATTTACATGAACATGTGAATCTGTCAGCTACTGACAATTTTAATCTTTAGTATTCATAACATTTATAACCATAATGCTTTCTGTTCTCTGAGGCTTATAACCCATTAACTCCCAAGGACTGATTGCTACTTCTCCCCTTCAGCTGCTATACATTTCATTGTAAATTAATTACAAGAATTTGAGGTTAGATCAAGATAAAAACTTGAAGGTATTCTCATTACCTTATGGATACAACAAGGAGAAGCTACATGTTAATCACTTCCAGGAAGTAAAGGGTTAAGATGTGCACATCTGCAATTATTGTTAGGAGTTCTTTGTCTCAATATAAAC